AAAGCGTCTGCTAGAAGATGGTGAGTTTTCATTTTTTCTCGCTTTTTTCTCCACAATATTCTATCACGTGGATGTATTATACGGCGCATTGCAGTCAAGGCTTAATGGATGGAGCGTCTGTGCAGTCGTGTATTTCAGACTTCTGCGATGCTGTATCTCGTATCCGGGAAACAATAAAATACGACGACACATGGAGTGCTTCTTTACGCCGCGGGCAAACAACGCAGCTTTGATTTTGTCTGCAAAGGAATGCTGTGACATTCTGGTGAATCAAATAGGCGATCGTCTGCGCACTGAACACCTTGCCGCGTTCTCTTTGATGAACCCCAAAAATTTTTCAAAATTTGCACGTCAATTTCCCATCCATTTGTTGGCTACTGTCTCCAAATTTTACCCATGATAAACGTGGGTAAATTGGAAAATGAATTGCGATGTATATACACCAATCAAACTTTTTTGAACATCACATCAACTTGCGCGCTCTATGGGTTCCTCATAGATAACACTCTAGTAACTACCTTTGCGGCGTCTGCAAAATTTCTGGACATCATTTTGACGACGCCTATTTCTTCCGCCGACGCAGTGCGATCATTCAGCACGCTGAAGCGTATTAAAACGTATCTCAGAAACACAATGAAGCAAGATAGATTAAATTCCTTGGCTGTTTTATCCATTCACAGAGACGTTATTTCTGGGATGCATGACTTTAATCAGCGCGTTATTGAGCATTTTGCTTCCAAGAAACCGCGGCGTGTTGCATATATGTTCAAGCAGTAGAAGTCTAGCAGCATATATATCTATGAGTGAGCGACGCATGTCCTTATCTTTGCATTACTTTCCTTTCTTCATAGTAACGTTTTAAACCTTATTACTTATCGATCTTAAGATCGGTAAGTATATTGATAGGTATTTGTCTGTATGTCTGTCTGTCTGAGTGTCTGTGTGTGTGTCTGTTAGATGCACGCGATATCTCACGAAAGCGAGATTGAATCTGCTCCAGATTTTGCATGTGCATTCATCTTATCTCGGACCAGAAGCCTATTGATTTTGGGCGAATTATGTCGTATAATTAGCGAGTTATCAATCAATTATTGATATAGTGATCTAGATTTTTGTAAAGCGAGAAAATTTTGAAACCCGCCGAGTGTGTGTGTGCGATGCGCAGTGCGCAATGCGCAAGTTACAAGAGCGGATGTATCGAAACTGCAGTTTCTGTTTTGGGGGATCCCCTAACTATCGATCGATAAGTCTTCGGTTTCCAACCGATATTCTCGTTTTAGGTTTTGTCTGCTTTCCCGAAGTTTCTGTTAATATGTCATTGTATTTATCTGGGTAAATATTGCCTTTCCTTTTGAAAGAGGTTTCAAAAATAAACTATGTCTATATTTATTAATCCCTTGACTTGGACTGGTTTTAAAGACACTTTCTTATCGTTAAAAATTGTCGCTTTTGCCGATTGGTTGTTACCGATGAAATGGCTTTTATACTCATAAAATGATGGGAGAACTTACAGCGCTCATCCTGTCCCCGTAGATGGGGGTGACTTGGTCCCGCAGTAGCTTGCCCCGGTTGTCAAAATGACCACGCGCCGCCACTGCCGGTACACACATAAGCCTATAAACAAAAGGGTAATTATCACATATTGGAACACATACGCCAAAACGAAGTAGGGGAAGGTTGGAACACTTTTTTCTTTTGCATATTTTGAGGCGTTAATTCAGCATATTCACTTAAGTTGGCGGGACCAATGCATGGAGGGGTAAATGTAGTATTTATTCAGCGACTAAGAAATTCCCTTGCGACACACATCTTACTACCAAAATGCTTTGAAAAACGTCTGTCGAATGTCCCACTGTACCCCACTTGTGGGGCACATTCGGACAGACTCAGGGACACAATGGGTCAGTCTGTCAAAATTCAACGAAGTATGTCCTTAAAATAAGGAATTAATCAGCATAATCGTCTAAAGAACAGGGAGACTTCAAATTTAAAGATTTATATTTTTAAAATCAATGTTTAACTGAAATAGTTCAGATATTCTGACAAAAAATTTCGCAAACAAATTTGAATATTTCCTTCCTCGAATCTAAATCTGGAAATATTATTGATTCTCGAATATATTCCATATTGGGCCATGGGCCAAAAAAAAACATAATATCACACAAAATATAACGCATCTCTAAGTCTCTAAGCACTTATTGTATCAAACACTCTCGAATTGTGCCCTGTCGAAATGTCCCACTGAACCCCTGACCATTGTTCCCCATAGGAAACAAATATTTTCAGACCATCCCACGGCGAAATTCGGAAGACACATCCCCTCGCCAACGTTATGAATATTTTTCAGTGGACTAAAGCCGAAAAATATCAGACTGTGGTTTGTCACGTTGGAAAGGCTAAAGTAGAAAAAAAACTGAAATGGTGAAATTTAAGTTTTAACTCCCCAAAACCAATTTCACCTAATAGCTTGAGCCGCTCTACCCGTCCGTTGTCCGTTCGCGAGAACGTTTTAACTCACCGAAGGGCGGATTGAAACATCGAACCACGGACAGAATTGCGGATATAGTATCAGTGTGAGAGGTGATTTCCCACTGTGCCCCATGTCCCAACGTGCCCCACCTTCCCCTAGTACAATTTCGGGTACTGGTATTAAATCTTTTACGGTACCGCAATCTCCAATTTAATTCATTAAATATTTTGTTTACATGAATACCATGTATCATTCAACAGATGCCTTGTCTTTATATATATGAATGTATATGTTTTGACCACAGTAATCAGTTAATTTGTCCAAATACATCGTCATCGCCAGGTCAAGTTTTGTTCACCTGCACCTTTCTTTTTTAAGTCTCCTTCATTCATTTTATAAGTACCGTATTTGCTCGTTTAATAACCCGGGCGCTTATTTTTTTTAAACATACTCACTAACCGGGCCCTTATTCAAACCGGCCCTTATTCAAGCAGGGGCGCTTGTTATTCTTAAAGTAAATTACACACAAAAATACCGGTAGATAAGATCGATCGTTACAATAATTAATACCGTATATTGTTATTTCCAGTTCTCAAGTATGATTTAAACGAGAATAATGAAAATTTTGACTTTTTCTACGCACCGCAGGTACAAATCCACAAAAAAAAAACTTTTACACCGGGCAGGTATTCAAGCACCGGTCCTTATTATTTTTATGTCCTGTTTACACGGGCGGCTATTCAAACGGGCGAATTCAAATCAAGACCGAGCGTTAAAACGAGCATTTACGGTATATGCATAAGTAAGATGCTTCTCCACATACATCTCATTTACATATAGAAGTTTACATATTTATTTATATATAAGCCGTATAAAACATTCTGAAATTGTGAATTGTAACAAGTACCAAAGTTTAGCAATCACGATCAAAACCCAAAATATATTTTATTTTCTTAGATTGGAAATTACTTTTATATATCTGCAAGCAAAAGCATAGTTTCGAAAGAGAAGGAAAGATGTTTCGTCTACATCTCATCTTTAAAGTGCTTTGTCCACAAACATCCTATTTATCAATTGTTTTGACCATATACCTCCAATTCATCAGATTTTTCATCAACATAATTTTATTCATCAGGTATTTCGTCCACAACCACATGAATCTTTATAATCAGATAATTGTCCACTTAAATTTCACTCGACATGTGATTTTTTCACCCATGTCTTATTTATATGTGGATTTGTCGGTCTCATGTAATTTCGTACCTAACATACTTCTATAGTGGGCGAAGCATGACAAATTTTCCACGTATCAATCCTAACCCCCACCTGACTACACCATCCAAAAATGACATCATTACGACGTCACAGTGACGTAACAGAGCCCTTCGAATTATATGAACTGTCATTAGGGTTGCCAACTATGAAAAGTCTCAATAAAGGACATAGATTACCGACTACCGTCATCATTTATTTTGTAACTTGCAGGAAAGAACATTATAAAACAATGAAATACATACTATATACAAGCTAAAGAGATATACTAAAAAGTCTTCATGTGTTTTTCATTTAATGTTTATTTAACATTGACGCAATCAAACTGCATTCTGTGAACAGTTTAGTGCTTTGAATCGTGCCAAATTTTATTTGAATGAGTGCAGCTTCATCAAATAGGTCAAACATATTCAAATTAAGTCTGTCTTTTAGCTTCAAATGCTCTACAATTTTTACAAGTGTCTGATATTTTGGAAAAAGATTATCCAAAAGAGATAATTTTACAAATGTTGAATTTTCATCAAAGTCAAATCTTTTTTCCAAATACGTTATCGCAGAGTTGAGAAATAATCTAAAATCTTGGAGACCAATTATACGTAGATTTTTCAGTTATTGAACTAGAATTCACTCAAATCTTGGGAGTGTTGCCACTATTGCCGTCTACGGAAAATTAATGTGGAATATTTAAAATTGTTAATAAAATTGATATTTCTTTGGCTATTTGAGCCGTACCAAAGCGAAATGAAAAAGAATAATTAAAAGCTTGCAAATACATAAACGGAGGCGATTTAAGAACGAAACAATATCAAACGCAGTACTATAAGTCTATACCTATCGGGCAAAACGACGTTGGAAAAAATAAAGGACAATTATCATCTTAAAAAGGACAAAAATCTCAAATAAAGGATTGTCCTTCGAAATAAAGGACGGTTGGCAATCCTAACTGTCATCCAAGACGCGCAAACGAGCACCCGAAATCGAACAGTTATTTCTCTCGTTTTCTCGTCGCATCGATTCCGATAGGAGAGAGATCGACAACGTCAGTCAGTTCTTTATCGTCGGCGCCAATGCCATTTCGGACGATCGCACGATTCATATCCTAACAAGGATGAATTGAAGATCCTTTTGAATATGGTAAATATCCTTTTTTATATGTAAACTAATTGGATGGGCTGGGGCTGAAGTGTGATTCAAGTATATCAGCAACTACATACTATTAACTATATGGACCTGACGCCCAGATAAATTATTACACTTGTCAGCCTTACATAATTTTATTGCACCGTAAGATACACTAATTGCCTAGAAACAATAAAAACAATACCAAAACCAGTTTTTCGAAGTTATTCTACAACATAGTGCAAATAATATATCCACATAGCTATCCAAAACTCCAAAGACAATGCCATGTTATAGAATTTAGATGCTTCATTCCAATATATCAATGATATGAAAATTTTAGGGAGAGAATGCCTTAAAAAAAAGATAAACACATACCAGTAATAATATTCTAAAATTATGCACGGAGTATTAAGAAAACAGACAAATAATTGCAATTTTAAATCTTTAACCATATATAGCTCCTACTTCTCAATTTCATATATTCAGCATCACTACAGGCACAAGAATGGTTATACTATTACAATTTCTCTGAATAAGACTAATTCTTTATCATAACCAAGACTATAGATCCGAATAGGTGTTTGGCATGTTTTCATGGATATTCAATTTGGGAGATACTAGGAGAGAGGGATCAGAATTTTGATATTGTGAATGACTGAATTTCATACTTTCGATGTTTATGTTATCAAACTTTGTTTTCCTAAGAGTTTGGAGTTGAGTCCTTGAGTCAAAATATCCTTCAAGTTGGATCGCAGAAAGAATCGAAATGCTTGTCAACCTATCTCGGGGTCTGCGATCCACAGCCAAAGCATTCTATAAAGTGGCTCAGCACTAATTTAACTAAAAACCTTAATTCATATTAACTCCCATACTGTTCAGACATGATTAAAACTACGAGTGCTGACCACCCAGTAAATGGATGACATCCTTGTCCAGCACCAGTATTGTCATTGTAATTTTCCCAAATATATCCTGTATTTTTATATTGCCTAAAAATATTATTAACTAAGTTTGCTCTCAGTTTGGTATAAATTTGATCAGCAAGTTCAGAAACAGGAGGTGGAGAAACAGTGGCATAATGCTTGAGAGCTCGAACAGCTAGAAAATTAATGTTGATCCAAATTTGTCCACGCCAGTATGGTGGATCGTGTTCAGTGTTACGTTTCATATACAGTGGATCAGTTTTTGACAGAGACCTATGGTGAGAAAATAAAATGATTTTTTTCACGCCACTTTTTTAACAAATTATTGCTCTATGAAAAAATTCAAATAAAAGAAAATTAAAGTTAATGTATAAAGTCTGTCTTTCTAAAGCGGCAAAGTAAGCATAATTTGCATATCAAAAATACAAGCATACAAAATGCTTGGAAAATAATAACCTCAACATACCTCAATCCGAAATCAGTCCATAGCAGATTTGGATCTGTAATTTCTTGTAAAATATTCAATAACTGAGGTGAATTTGGTTCCAGAATGTGTAGAAGGAAGGGAAATAGACTTATGTAACCCTTTGCATTGACCAGTTGTTGCTTTGGTTGAGATCTAGTCTCTCTCACAACTTTGAAAGTAACCGGCAAACCAGGTTTAGTAGGAGGAATTTGTTTTTGTACCAAAACAACCTAAAATATGAATAGATTATATAAAATTGAAGCCATTGTTTATATAAAAACTAGTAATTTACCACGACTTACAGACGTTTCAGCCCAAGATATCAATTACTTATTTCGTTGTTACAATTATTTCAGTAAGTATTTCAGTGATGAAGTGAAGTATTTTTTCATTTTATACTATTATTCATTATAACAATTAATGAAAGTGGAAGCGAGCTTAGGTTTCAATGCAAACAAAACAACACAATCCTCGATTTCTAACATCAGGCATAAAACCTGTATGCATGAGACGTACTCGGAGAACGCACGAACGACGATGAACAAAGGCAAATAAAGCGAAAAAATGGGTTAAACATAAATAAATCATAGATTTTATGACCATAAAAAGTGACAGGTTTTTGAAAGGAATTATCCGACATCTTATGCACATATACATGCACATGTTAAAAAACGAACATTGTGTGCTTTTGTTTGTGTAGGAACTTTTGGAATCGACATAAGTTTCATTAATTGCAATAACAAAAAAGTAATTGGTGGTAGCATAAGCCAAAATGTCCAAGTATTGAAACGATTATACATCTACCAATACTGCAAAGTACAACAACAATATGTATGAATAAACTCATTTACAGTCAACTCAACTATTCTAAAAATATTGACTGCTCAGTCATTCTTTGCATTACCTTGGCTGAATGATTCCCAAAGTCAGAATAAGAGTTAAGTCCTTCAGACCAGTGTAATTTATTAAGTAGATTGTTATCCATCAAATAATCACTTGTTGATTTGTATTCAGTTGGATCTGTAAATAAATTGAACATTATTCAAGAAATATTAAAAATCGAAAATATATTCAAAAATTTAATCCAGTAAAGAATATCAATCATTAGATGAACCTAGATTTATCAAATCTCATGTCAAAAAAATAGTCAATGGTGATAAAAGTAAACGACAAAACCAAACTCAAATTTTTAAACAATCACACCTTCTCCAATTTCTGCTGCAATATTAGAGAGCGTTTCAGATGCTAAAGCAATCCAACATCGCAAATCAACATGACGTTCATTTTGATTAGGATGAGAAGATCTCGGATAATCATCTAAGCCAGAGGTTAAAGTCTTTGGATTAAGTTCTCTGTCCGAATTCTCTTCCCTACCCCTCCACCTATATGAACCGGGTATTGGTCCAGACTGAGTGCGATTAAACCAGCTAAACCATGCCTGCAATAAAAAAAAATGTTTCATTAATATGCATTTAAAATAAACCTCTGTGGCTTGGAAGCAAAAGGTTGAAGCAAAAAGGGCTCACATCCTGTTCAAATCCCATACCACTTCACCTAGAGAGCAATAATTGAGCAGGCAGTGCTGAACCAGGAAGATCCCGGACCTCCCAAATTATAGTAGCTTGTTACCTATCCTCAGTTATCAAGGGCTGGTTGCACATGGCTTTGTTTGAAAAGAAGGCGTGAGTAAGCATCATATAAAAGAAGAGAAGTTACTAAATAGTCAAAATATGCAAATCAAAACAAGAACATTCAATAAATTGTCAAGTCATCACCTGGAGTTTTGGAAACATTCGAGTCAAAGTTTTCTTTTCATTTTCTGTCATTCCTTTACGTTGTGATTTCATATCTCTTACTATTGATTGTAATGTTAAAAAAAAAGTTGGAGGATTTGCATTCGTGTTTCTTTGCACAACAAACTCATCAGGTACCTAAATTATAAAATGCAGTGAGGTATTGAAGTACTTCACCCTGTACAGATAATATAAGTGACCACATGGAATTACTTATTCAACTACACAAACTTCTTAATTACCTGAAGTAATATTACACAGCAATCTAAACCACAAAGTTGATTTAGGTTTGAAGAGGTTTCGAATAAGAACGTTCATATCTGATAGGATTTCCAGTTATTTTTTAATCAGATAAGACCTTGATGGTTCATTCCAAACTGTCATTTATGTTCTCGACAATAATGAATTGTCATAAAATAACAGTCATTTCATTATGTTTTTATACCATTTTGAATTCGAATATAACAGTTGAGTTATAGATTTACCAACTATTATTATAGCATCACTAACTTTGCTTCGTGCTTCGTCTCCCAAAATTTGTTCCCTCGGAATCCAACCTTCAGCATTCATAGTATCAAGCCAATGGCCGATAACAGATAAACTCAATTCTCGATCCCATTTGCTGATTAACAATTCATGGAAACCTGATAAATAAATGAACTATATTATAGTATATATTAAAATTGGCAAGAAGCGCCATTTCTAGTAGTTTCAGATTTTTTAGATTACAAAACATGAGTATTTTTTAAATCCAATTATTTGTTAAACAGTGTTTCCAAGACTTCACCCTCATTAACAAGCAGCTCATGCACAAAGAGCAATTATTTTGAACGGACTAGAATATTACCTGTTCAACATTGCCTACCCACTTAAATACATCATTGCGGAGGGTTTCCTCCAATTTTATTGGACATAGGTTTGAAATGGACGAGCATTGATACTGTACTGAGTGTACTCTATTAGTGAAAAAAATTTGATTTTGGAGATTAGACCAAAGAATTGTTCTCAAGATTTTAGAAAAAAAACAATTCAAAAAACACCATTTTACTTCATGCAAAGCAGCTTTTGTATATTATTTGAATAGACAATATCTTACCCTCATCCCAAAGGAATCCTCTTGGAAAGAATGACCTGGATGGCACTCCTGTTAATAAACCTGTTTTCCAGTATGGTACAGGCTCTACCTCATATTCAGATTGTACAAGAGAATTTCCATGAAAATACCCAATACCTCCGATCATATTACTAAAAGCAGCTTTGGCGAATGATATTTGTTCTGCATCGTACCGAAGCTTATGCAGTGGAAACCTGAATATGATATTCGAATACTTGGATTGAAGAGTGTTTACAAGTTCGGGTTAAACATACAGCTTTGCTAACAATTTTACAAGACTGCTTGTAGCATATTGTTTTCTATAAGAAGATATGTTGTACAACTATGCTAGGAATATTCAAACAACTCAATTCGAAAAATATACAAAACTCAAATATTCAGAAAATCAACCGGTTTTATATATAATTTCAAGTCATTCAAACAGGAAGATGGCGGAATTCTAGCATACCAAACTATTATGTAAATACATGGATTCATTCACTCGCCTTGATTCAAATTTTTGATCAAATTTCATTTTTAAATTTGTTAATAAATTTGTAAAAGAAGATCCGGTTAATTCAGTTCTTTGCTTTACGCTTGATGATTCGAATATGACTTCTACTTCAAATGGTGTTTCCATTGTAACCTTTAATAAAACATAAATCAATTTTATAGCAACCAATATAAAGGTTGATCAATGAAGCTTCACAAGCGCTCATTTAATAGAGACTAAAAGGTGTTTAAATTATGTATGATAAACTAAATTCAAAGCTATTAGAATAATTGTCTTTTATGATTTGGCAATGAGAAAACCAAACTTTAATAAACTACCTTACCTTGAAAAATCGGCTTAAAAAAGATATCGCTTGGTCCATTAAGTTACTAAGAAGAGCTATTTTTTTCACAACCCAACAAGAACATAAAAAATTTAGTGAGACGATGCATAGCGATTTGTGCCCAAAAACTTATTTTTAACTGTGCATATAGCATTGCTTCAGATTTATCCTAGAATAAGTACTTCTTCATCAAATGGTGGATTAATTTTTCCTATTTGAGTAGCAGACCAAATGGGGTTTTACGGATAGCGAAGACAACAGTGACCCATGGGGTTTTACGGATAGCGAAGACAACAGCGACCCACCAATGGTTACATGGCTATGAACCACTTTACGTTAACAGCAATCTTTCAAAATATAATACTTTCACAATATTCACAATGTAACTAGCAGTGCGATAACATGCATCAATCATACTTCCAAATGCTTAAACGTAAACTTATAAATAGGGATAAATATATGGCCCCAATTTCGTATGAAAACTACAATTACACAGTTTGTATGTGATCCAAAGGCACATTTTGTAAAACTGCTAATAAATTTCAATATTAGAGTAAGAATTAATAAAATTTAATATACTGACACAATATTAGCAGAGGATATACTCAACCTGATGTACTAGCATTTTTGACTTTGGATTTTTGACGTTTCCGGGAAATTCATCTTGTACAAGTGAGTATCTAGGAACTTTTTTGCCTCCACCTCCCCGAGGAGACACTTCTGAGACAGCCAGTTTTCTTAAGACACCATCTTTTAGTTTATGTAAACCTTCCACTTCAGTTACAGTGTAATGAAACTCTTGTTTCTTGTTTTCAGTTGATTTTGGAAATTTTATTGTAAAAGGTCCGAGTCCAGGACTAAAACCTAGAAAATGAAATTTAACATCAAGTTACACATGTGAAATATAGCGCGCGATGAATACATATGGCCTAATACAAAATTATTTATTTATTATTTTAAATCCCAAAAGGGTATTTCTGTTATATTACGATATATGAAATAGCACCAAACCAACTAATTTACTTCTCTTCCACAAAGAGCAGGGGAGCTCGAGCCGTGGCGTGAAGCAGTGATGGTTGGTTGGAGCTGAAGCCAATCTTCCCATATTAGATAGACTTGAATTCAAACCATCTGCTCATTTTTTTCACATTTCACGATACTCCTAGTTTGTAATATTTATCCAATTTGGATCTCACATGGGCAGAGCCAACACCATGCACAATTAGACAAAAATTTAATCAGTACATGAATAGTTAAATAAGTTAACAGTCGGATATTATGCCTTTGCTGCCATTCTTCTATTTAAAATGTGGTGATATATTAATTTTTTTGTATTATGGACATGGTAAATAGACAAAAGGATGATTCTTAAAATTATTCAGACTAGCATATTGTACCATGGTATTCTATTGTCACTTGTCATAGAGGTTTGTTAACATAATACCACTTTTAAAATACGAATTTATGTATTAAATTCTTGTACCAGATATTGCAACGAGTCTTTCCCCGTACGCTTTTCTTTCAGTAAGTGGAGTCAAATCCCCTTCTTGATCAGTTGCAGCATAGAAAAACAATGACAGGGTAACATTGTTTCCAAACTGAAATTTAAAATTTGATAAACGATGACATTATAACTTCATTGACCACAAGATTAAAAATAGCTAGCAATATCAAATTCAAAACTGATTTCATGTTTCTCAAGGTTAGCAACAAATCTATGTGTTTTAAAGTCATCTTCTGTATATTCAAGTTATTTTATTATCTGAATTACTGAAAACCATACAGATCTGGCTGACACTCTCCAAGTCCAGTCTCCTCCATGATTCCCTCCAGGTTTTTTAACAAATTCTGTCCGTAGATTAAAGTTCTTTTCCACAATATCCTGAATTCCAAAATTCAACCCATCATGTGCTATCCATCCATAACGAGAAAGCCGATCCCCTATTTGAAAAAGTCGTTGAAGAATGAGAATTTGGACAAGCTAAAAAAATTCAACTTTATTGCTGACACACAGTTTCGTGCTGTATAAACATCCCTGCGAAATTGTTTAAATTCCATGTGCAAATGACTAATCCCCTTTCCAATGGACCGTATTAGCAAGGTATTTTGCACTGTTTTAACAAACTTCATTTCATCCACGTGCATGAAAACATTGAGAGTTGAGATAGACCTCTATCCTCTAAAACAAAAAAAGCCTGAACCTTGTTCACAGGTATGTCGTAGAGGTAGGTCGTTTGAATATCTGACATTTTGTTGAAGCCACATCATTCCAGTCACAATGGAATTTTCACTCAATGTTTTCATTCCAAAATAGACCTTAAAACAAGATTTTTTTGTTATTATGTTCAACAAATTATTTGTACAAAATTTTGCAATTTTTTTCAAAATACTATATTTTTTTAGTGTTTCATTTACCAAGCATAAATTCAAAAATAAATGTGATTGGTGAAAACTAAAATTGTCAAATTTCTTCAAATGAAACATCATTTCCAATTTCCTTACCAAAAAGTTTGATAGGCTATAAGATAACATTTGAATAAGCTAAAAAATAATTTTCATTGACAGATGGCTATAAAAATTTCCAATACTTCACATAACATAAAATGTGAATTGCGTACCTGAGGTCGATAAGTTCCCCAATACCGTTTCATATCAGGTTGGTCAACTATCACTTTTTCCATAGATAAAGGTGTATAAAGCATTCTTTTCAGTTGAATATGTGAATACCAAGAAAATCCTGCGTAACCTACCACAGCTGAAAACAAAAAAGTATCGGGAAATGCTTTTTGATTCAAGGTGGAATTAATTTGAAAAGAAATTTTTATTTTCATGTGATGCAAACAGTTTTATTCTCCTTAGCAATACTAAGAGCAGTATATTGCAGATTTGCATGTACAAGTTGATTCATTAAGATATGTTCAAGGAAAATCTATAATTTAATTTATAGAGGCCTACCTGACAATATAATGCAGATTAAAATTAAGGAAGAACTTGAGCCTTTATCTTTAGAATTTCCATGAATGTGTGTTGGCAAACTATGTCCATATCTTCCTGGCAATCGCCTACGCACTGCCATTACTTCATCTAATGCAGACGTACAGATGTATAGGCTACTAATCACAAATATAATATGCTCACATTGATTATTGTTTTCGAAGCAATCGGGTAACAGAATAATGCAAAATAAAAACAAAATATGCAAATGTCAGTATGTCACCCAAAAATTACATCACTGCGACGGCACAATCATGTCATGCAGCTTTCTAAATTATAGCTACGATCGTCCGAAATGGAACCTGAGCCGAGTAGAATGAACTCACTAACGCCAGCGATCTTACCCATATCGGTATCGTTACGACGAGAAAAACAGCTTGCTCGATTACGGACGATTGTCTGCGTGAACATACGTTTACTTTAGAGGGCCATATTACGTCTTTGCGACTTCGCAGTGATGTCATTTTCGAATGATGTAGTCAGGTGAGGGTTAGGAATGACATAGGCCAGTAGGCTATGTGAAAATTGTTGATCCAGGCCAACTACAGGTACTTCAAATGACCCCACTTTTCAACTTTTCATGGGTGGTGGCTGACTTTGATGACCTTTGGTCGTATCGTCATCTCCCAGTCTATACCAAAATAAATGCTGTTTAATTTATTATACTAAAATTTATTTTTATTTGGTTGACAAAAATAATAAACTCTCTCTCTCAATACCTGCATATTCTGACATAATATTTCAAAATTGACTCCATCAAACTCCTAACATACGGTACTGATGTTTTGCACTGCGACACTGACATACAAACAAATCGGGCGATTAAGCTACTGCTGTATTATTACGTCAATATGCTAGTACGGTACAGTAACCGACTAACCGGCAGGCCTACCGGTACCGGTAGTCTATTTCTATATTTGCAAAGCCTAAAAGTCTGAAAGTTGACGTTCATATTCTCAAGATTATAAAAAGAATTCCCAAGCCAAACCACAAAGATTGCAATGCTCATCGGCGCTCATCTTCCATAGGATGAATATAAAACAAACAAAAAAAATAAAATTTATTTGACCGACGAAATTATCGAACTATAGAACTGTAAATAAGTCATGAAAGAACGCCTAATTCTGCCATTCCTCATCACAGCATTAGGACGAATCAAGTGAAAATACCCAGTTTGGGTTGAATAAATTCCAGCACACTGGCACATGACAGCGTTGCTCTTCAAATCAATTCACAACACTGTTACGTAAAATGGTAAAATTTAACTATCAAACGTGTACATCAAAATGGGAAAATCCATCGTCCAGTCTATTTAGAATTTACAAGTTGTAGGTAAGGATGTAAGTTTCAGAATTTCGAATCGAAGCGATTTGAATCAACATCAATTCGAAGCAATTTAAGAAAAAAAGGCTTGATTCTATTTAAAAAAAAATTTGATAGATACCACAAGGCAACTGCACGACACAGCGGCGCTACTGTTATATCGACCAAACGCGTTTATTGGACACGTAGTGGACATAACGATCGTTTCAATATTATGTTGTTGTTGTTCTTTGACACGTTTTTAAAAAGTCGCTTTTCTCTTTGATTACTGGACTAATCGCTTTGAAATTTTCAGTGGTTGAAGATGAAATTTTTCTCCAGAAGGCTATTACTTTTATTTATTTCAAATATTTCTGTTAGCTCTGTAAAATTTGTTTTTGTTTGCTATGACGTCATTAAACGTTCTGCGGATATCGGACGCCGTTTTGTGTCCAACCAATGACATTAAACAACATGATGCGCAACTCCGGCGTTTTTGGCCGAAGATCGTATTCGATAGCACGCTCCAATGCACATACTTGACGAGACGAAAACGAGCGGATGTGTGTTGCTTTCAAAGTTTCAAGGCATAGCACGAAGGGTGTTCGAGCCTGCTTCGACAATTGTTGTGGTTTTTAATGATATTGGAAAATTGAAGGTAAAAAAATCGGAAAAAAGTAAGGTAAATACTATTGTTGTATATCACACCCGGGCATCGCACTGTTAAGTACATGCGGGAAAGCCAGCTTTTGTCAAATACTACGAAGTTATTAATTCAGTACGGTACGTAGTTGCCCATTTGCCGAAATTGCATATTTACTTACCCCTTATGGTTTCAAATAGTTCGTGCACCTCCATTTAGATTTTTTAATCAGTGAGGATATATACTTATTGCTGTAACATACTATTGCTCATTCACTTTTATTTGCGTATTGAATCAACGGGTTAACAAGTTCACCTAAAATTTCACTCATACCGGTCTATATTGTATAGTCTGATCTCTCAAGTATTTGGAGCCACGAATGCTTATAATTTTCTGACTAAACCCCTTTATTAGTTGGTTTATATACCAAATTCAGTAAAACATTTTTTACAAAAAACATAAGATATTGGATTTATTAGCTTTTCCATTCTGAATCATATAGACTGCTTTATTTATTCTTAACGAAAATTAATACATCTCCTCTCCTACAGATGTGAAAGTTGTGGACAGACCTGTCTAAGCATTGTGAGACTCCTGCAGCACAAGAGGCAATAGCAATAATAGTAGTATATCAATCAAGAAATTAGGCCGACATAAAACAAAACTTTCAACTATTCGTCTAACCTCAATTTCCTATTATTTATTCACAGGACAACTGTAGCTGAAGGGGGATATCAGAAGTCTGGCGACATATCAGTGACAGTTTGATTCCAAGAAATATGATTAGAATACTCCATAAATGTTTGCAATAGAAGAACAACCTATGGAGGAATGCAAAGACATTTGACCCTCCGGTAAAGTTGTGTATGGCCCCTACATCCTGCAGGGCTTGAGGGAAATAACTAAAAATTCCAAAGCGTAAGATTGCATAAGCGGTCTTCTTTGTAAAAAGGCACAAAACATGCCAGACATACTTAAAACAGCTTTGAAAAATGAGGATTACGGTTCACTGACTACACCTGTGTATATTTGGTTCATCAAATTTTGGTAGTACTATAAAAAGAAATTCAGAAAAGGGTATAATCATGATTCATGATAAATAATGTTATATATTTTGACAACTTCAAATCTAGACCAGGGATGTCAAAGTCGTGGCCCCAGAGAACTTCCAGTGCGGCCCCTCGAACGCTTAACAATAATTGTAATAGTATTTTGGAATTTTTTTTATTTAAATGTAAAAGATTTTTCAAACCTTTTAAAAGTGAAAATTGAATATTCACACAGAAAACAATTTACTGAAAGTAGTTTTAGAAAGTTAATTTTTTTTTGTTCACATTTTGACTCAATTAAGAATACACATCAAGCTAGCAAAAGAATACTGAATAAAACACTTGAGTGATTAAATTAAAGTACATGAAGAAGGTGGCATTTTCGAAGAAAATGGGAGTTGCAATATTTCTGCATTTCACAAAATTTCTGAAGGCACATTGTTTAATTTGTCATATTTCCATCAGTACAATGAAAAAACACAATAAGCTCAGCAGTCAATATGACAATTCGAAGACCAACTCCGAACAGAAAATTTTCCATGTGTTTGTATATTAATATAAATATACAACGACTTAGTTACTAAAAATCAATATCAATAATAATTCAAGCAATCCTATGCCATGCAATGTAGCGCGAAATGTCTTGTCGAAAAAATCTGTCATTTGTTTTTTTACTGATCTATACATGAAATGATAAAAGTAACTTTTTTGCATTACTGGAATTAATTAAACTTTTGCAAAGATACAGATTAACCCATGATCATGTGACCTCGTTAGTTAGAGTTGGTACTATAAAATCATTTCAGCCTGGCCTTAGTATGCTGGTGACACAAGAAGATGCCAAAGCGTCAGGACAAATGTAATTAAAAAAACATTGAGTTTATACTGTAGTATTTTTGTTTAATTTTAGGTTCATATATTTAGATTAAGTCATTTTTAGTTGTATATATTTATTCGTTCCTTAACCAAGGCTTGTTCAAAAAATGATTTTGATGGATGAATGGAAATTTTATGATTTTTTGTAATAAATACAGTAAACTTTGCAATAATAGTGGAATGCAAATATTAATATGTTAACTGCATTTGAAATTAAAGAAAATAATGAACTTAATCCAACTGATTAGTTGGCATCACAATATATGTCACAAACTAAAACTATCTGAAAAATATCTCTCGAGTTACATTATCAAAAACTGTTTGCGGCCCTTTTTACAATTTCCAACATGCAATGCGGCTCTCGAAACCCGATGAAGTTTTGACCACCACTGATCTTATTTCTAGACGATTCAAGCAATGGCTTTGGAAATAGATTATCACTTCAATTAAATTGAAAAAAAAATTCTCGCATATTAAATACAAACCAGTTGCTTATCATAAAGGTTACACCAATTCAGGCCACGTCGGAATTAATATTGGCACTTCACAAAAGGCAAATGGAAGGCAGAATTGAGAGTTCCATGAGCTATGAACTTTTGTTCATATCCTTTGTCCTTGAGCTTTTCATACTCCACAGCCTCCTATTACATTACTTATTTAATTTTAATTACCGTGTGGTGGTCATAACATACTGTATCTTTGGTATTTTCTGTCATGATGTATTATCTCAATGTGTCAAACTTTTAATTAGTGTGTATATTTTGCTTGCAGATGACATGAATGTATTGTCTTGCTTATTACCTCAGCTTGGAGTATTGACAAGAAAAAAGTGCCCGTAAATTACGTAAAAAATGTTTAACTCTTTGATATAATCAGAATTCACATTTAATAGGAATTATAAACAGCCAACAATCAATGAGAATTATATGCAAAATTCCTCAGATTGAATTTGTCTTCTAAAATCGGAGGAAGGCAAAACATATAGGTAGTTTCCATTCACACAAGTCTTTTAAGAAGACTTGCTCGAGACAAACTAAATGAGCATCGTCAGGTGATTGGGTAAGGCTGCAAGTTGAATCAGCCCTGCAATCTCCTGCATAGAAGATAATATTAATTAGCGGGCTATGAGCTAAATTCCTAAATTTAGACACAAACCTATCTACGAGGCAATATGTACCAGTAATGTTACCTACGATTAACTGAATATGTAATATGTCTAATAAATTCACCTACTAAAAACAAGTTCGATAGGTGCAAACTTTGTGTTATGGAATTGTATCAGCAGCACCTTTAAGAGAAGTAAAAACAGTTTTTGCTGTTTTGTATGACACCCTCTTTAAATGAAATTTCAATGTTTAAGCGCAAAACATTAAAATTACTAACCTTTGAACTTTGTCATTATCTGCAAAATGTTTCACACAAATCTTTACGCTATCGCGTTTGTAATATTCTCTGATAAAAAAAACGTCTATGATGTTCAGAATTACTCTTTACAGCTTGTCTGCCATTCCAGCTTTCCAAATGAGCAAAACTTCTCAGATATAGAGATTATTTTCTTTCGTTACAGGCGCAAAAAGGCAGGTACTACACGTAAAGAAGACGCCGAGTAGCAAAAGCAATCGGAAAACCGTCGCGAAAGGCGACGAGAAATATGTGCATTGGAGCGTATCATGAAATACAATCTTTCGCATGTAGTCTTATGGAGTGACGTCAGAGTTGCCTATCATGTTGTTTAATGTCATTGGTCCAACGGACCTTCTTGCAATTTCAATTCACGCTGTCACAAGACAGGACCTTCTAAAGCAGAGGTCACCAAACTTTTTTGAACGCGGGCCGGGTATGACTCAAACTGTGTTGAAACGGGCCGGACAAATATTTTTGTCAAAAAGAATGAAATTGGAC